GACTGATTAGTTGCACTAGTACATTTATGTATTGAACAGGATCCCAGAGAGGAGAAGTTCATTTTATACTGATCGTCGTAAATGAACTAGGCCTCGGTTAATTACTGCGTTCTCTTAACCCGTAAGATATTAAACAGGCATATATATATAATATATATTACTTTGATTCACTTGGGTGAGGTTCAGTTTGCTGGATTAATATTCCTACTGTTTTGGGTAATACTATTATATATAGGATGTGTTGTTAGGATATTTACGGTCACCATGTGCGTTAGTTTGATGATGTCCCCGGAGTGAGTTCATGAAGGATTGTTATGCTAAACCGTGCAGGTGGATTAAATTCCGACATAATAAGAATGTGATGAACGAGCGCTAGCTTCGGTGAAATAATAATAAATTAATTAATTCTTGATTGTCAGTAATCGAATTAATTAATGGACATTATATCTTAAACGTGGGGAGGTAAATCGAGTAATTATTATTGGAGTCTCAAATGTAATTTGGGCTAGGGAAAGGGAGTGCAATAATATAATGTTGGTTGTTGTAGTAATTTTAACCGGAGTAGAATCGAAAGATTCGTTCCCTGGGTCGTATCGCAAGGAAGGTAGCCGGATATAATTGTTCGATTATTCAATCACAAAAGAAGATAAAAATCCTAAACACTCTAATTCAATGATTTGGGTTTCAATTATCAACTACCAACTTTAAATTAAATAAAGCACGAAATGAACAGTAACGAATTAACTGAGAATTTAAAGAGCTAGGGAATCGGGGACAACTGCTTTCGGTTCTTACACAACTACCGGCAATCAATTGCTCGGTTAAAGGAAGTGAATCGTCTCTCGTTTAGAGGTTCACTCTCAATAACTCTTCGTAACAAGAGAGTGAACATATACGATTGACTATCAAATCCAGCAACTCATAGACAATACTTTGACGAATAAGTCTATTCTAAACGAGCCTAAATCGACCAATGTCTCCCCTTTCGGTTCTAAACAATGATTAACTAGGTTATATAGGTGATCAATCTATTAACGCTAAATTGAACTCAACTCGCATAGATATGAACAATTAAGAACAAGCAATTATAATTGAACCTAATCAATTATCCCCTATCCCTAGCAGATGGATTTAGCTACTCATAATGGATTTGATCACACAAACATTCATAACCCAAGACATCATCATCAATGAAAGAATTGAAGAAAAATACTTACGATTAATGAAAATTCTGAACCCAATCCAATAGTATCCGAATCCAAGGCAAGATAAGAGGTTTTTAATCTCTAAAATCGAATCCCAAGAGCAAAACAATTCAAAAGTGCGAAAGAAAGAAAAGAAATGAGTTTCTAGAGAGAAAAAGTGTAAAAACAAAGTCTGAAAACCGAATAATGAACCCTAGGGTCGAATTCTGCTCTAAAAATCCCGTCCTCGAAATTCGCACCCGGCAAAGTCGCGAGTCGCGACTTACTCGCGAGTCGCGAGATGGACCTTTTCTTCCCTCGCGAGTCGCGACTTCTTGGCGACTCGCGCGTCGTCAAAATATAAATTTCTGGGGTTGAGTCGCGAAATATCTCGCGAGTCGCGACTCCATCTCGCGAGTCGCGACATCATCTCGCGAGTCGCGAGTTCTGCTCGACACTGCACCATAAGCCTCTGTTTTTTCCGCGGGTCGCGACATTCCCTCGAGTCGCGACTCGACTCGCGAGTCGCGAGACATCTCGCGAGTCGCGACTTTTTCTGGGCACAGTTTCTGTCCGTTTTTTCTGTCCTTCCTCGAGTTTCCTTCGCTCGGTAACGGATGTTCTCGAAATCACAGTCTCGGCTCACGCAATCCTAACCTCGACCGGCACAACCTACCTCCTGAAAACACAACACAGAAAAACACGCAGCAAAACACGACAAAAAGACACACAAATATAAACTAAAGAGAAAAACGCAAAACAACGAATTGGACCAAATAAACTACGAAAAACCTACAAATGGGGGAAAACGAAAAGAAAATAATCATGAAATAAAGACACAAAAATGGGATAAACAACTCCCCCACACTAAGACCTTTGTTCGTCCCGAACAAAGAGAAAAGAAAAGAAGAGAGAAGAGAAGAAAAGGAAAGACACGAAACAAGAAACGAGTCTGGTCATCAGTCGATAACAAGATAAGTCTCAACACGTTCAACTTCAACAATGAGCATTCAACTGGCACATACGAACATAACACGACTACATGCTTGATCGCTAAACTTCAATATGGCGTCCACTCAAATATGGGAATGTATATGTGTGCCTCACTCACTTTCTTATACAGATAAAGATATGGATGCACTCAAATTGGTCAATAACAAGTTCAATCATAAGCTTGCCCATTGTCTAACTTCTACTCTAAACCAATCAAAAGCTGCAACTAGTGAATCAAAAGGTCTTTCAGGGTTGTAACGTAGGCTCTTTGGACAGGTAGGATAAATATAGGCTAAGTGGCTCGAACATAATTCAAACTCCTAACCCAAGAATGCACGCTCATCCGGTTACTCAAACAAACCGGACCTCCCCCACACTTCTCCTAAAAACACACATTTACACCCAACTTATTTTGTTGTTTTTCTTTTTTATTTTTTATATTTTTTTTTCTCGCGACCCTATTTGGTCGCTCTTTTTTTCCTTTTTTTGTGTAAACCTCTTTGGACAATGACAATCCATTCGGCTACATTTTTTTTTTCTTTTTTTTTTTTTTTTTTTTGAGAAAAATAAACAAACTCCACAATTATCCCCTCCCATTCTCAACCCGAAACTCAATAATGTCATCATCACGGGGTTATAAAAGAAAACAATTAGGCTCAAAAGGGCAACTAGGGAATAACTGCATAAAAAACAATGATAGAAAGATACAAAAAAAATGCCTTAATCATATTCACAGTTCACAACTCAAATTGATTCATTTCGATGCAGACTCAGGGCAAGTTCTAATCAAACAAGAGCATGACCAATGTATCTCAAGAAAGAAATAAGGCTCAAACCTCACTAGGCAAATATCTGAATGTCAATCAAAGCCATTAACCAAGCAGTTCATCACGCTATGCCATACAATGCCAACATCACAACTCATTGAATCCACTGAACACATCTTAACTCACCATGAATTTTCCAAGTACAGACCCAAAACACATAAATCCTACACTAGACTGGTCCACAAGCAAAAGAAAGAAATAAAACACACCCTAAAACAAGAAAAACAACTAGACCTGGTCAATCATACAGCCACATAAACTCCCCCACACTGAAAACCAGACAATGTCCCCATTGTCGAGCCGCAGTGAAAGGAAGTTGTACTTACACAATTAACCGACAAAACACAATAAAGAGAAAATACAAAAGAGAAACAAAATAAAGAGAAAAAAAAAAGAAAAGCTAACCAACACAATGACAAGTCACTGTGGTCCATGAGGAGGAGACGGAGGAGGAGGAAAGGACTGGCCGGTGCCGGAGCTCCACTGAGTGTACCGCGCGTCCCACTGGGTCTGCCAGGAGCCTGAAAGCGGAGGTCGGCGCTTTCGAATCGGGCACTGAAGTCGCGCATGTCCCGATTGTAGCGATCCTCGAACGCCAACCACCACGGAGGAGGCTGGGACCACCAAGTTGGCGGAGCAGAGGGCTCGGCGGGGCGCTGCTGCGAACCCGCGGGTCGGGGCTCCTGAAAATCAGCCTCCGGGGCCGGCTGCCAACCAACAGGCGGCGGAAGGCGATGGTCCTCGTCGATAAGCTCCTGATCGTGCGCCATCACCTCCGGCTCTGGCGGAGGACGAGACGATCCTGACTGAGCGGCGGCAGCGGCGGCCGCTACCTTATTCGCATAGGTGGCGTAAGCCTGACGCTGAGGATAGGCCACGAAGGTGTGTCGATCCACGATGAGGCCTGAATGCGACAGCTCAAAAGAATCAATGCGCCGCATCAAAACCGGGGGGCTGCCAGACGCCACAGGATCGAGGCCGAAATGCAAAGCAAACGCCGTCACCACATGTCCAAAACAGGCGAATGTACGCGTAGTCCGGGTGACAGCCCGGAGCTCGTCCGTGAAGATATGCAACACATTCCGAGGCTCATTCCGGAGCATAGACCAGATGACGACGAGATCATTCTGAGAGACCTTATTCGCCTCCTTCTTCCCGAAGAGGCCATAGCACAAGAACTTGTGCATGACTGCAATCGCGCCGCTCTCAATGAGGCTATTAGCCATGCCACGGGAGTCCCAGACCGTGTCGGGAGAAATCTCAGCCCAGAAACGAGACGGAGTCATAGACGCCCAACCGCTACTGCCTACATTACGGAGGCCCAAGACGCGGTCCATGACGGCGGCATCAATTATCACCTTAGTACCAAGCAAACGGCACGTCATGTACTCGGAGCCATCGGAATTCTTCCGAAACTCGAGGGTAGAGAAGAACTCGAGTGTGAGGTTCTGATAGGTCGGATGAAAAACGTAGGCATACTTCCGCAAGCCAAGCGTGTCAAGGTACTGCTGGATCGTCGCTAAAATACCAAGGTCGGAGAGCAAGGTGAAGTCGAATGTTTTGGATTTCAAGACCGCCTTCGGTGCGAGCCGAGCGTAAACTTCCCCCTCGCGTTCCGAGAGAATGGGAAAGGGGGCACCATAGTCGGCCCGTAAATCGACGTGCCCGTCCCGAGAAGCAGAGGACTCTCCGACAGACTTCTTACGTTTGTTACCGGCTCCTTTCCTCACCATGGTGAAGATGAACGTCACTCAGGCAAACAAGCAAACACGTGAGAGGCACAAAGTGGGATTCGGATGCAAACTACAACTGTAGACCCGAAATAACTCCAACCCAAACAACGTGGGCACACGCAACCCAAACAACTCAACTGCAGCTCAAGGACGCACTATCCAATCCAAACAACGCAAGTATCCACAAAATAGGAAAAATTACGATTACTGGCTGTGACTCCAAGTAGGTTGCGAAAGTTTGGAGCAAGAGATGACAATGGTGGTCAGAGAAGTCGGACGCCGGCGGTGCTGGTGGACGGAGGTGTGATGGCGCGGGCCAGAGATGAGCAAGGGACGGCGGAGGCTAGGCGGGAGCTGTCGCGAGCAGTGGAGAGTAGGCGAGTGGTTGTTGCCCGACTGAAGAACAAGGGATCGTGATTCGCGAGCTCGTGGTTCGCCGGAGAAGTAGGTCGTCGGTCGCCTGGAAGACTGGCCGGAATCGTTGGCGAGGTGATGGTCGGACGAAAATTTGGGGCTAGGGTTGTTGTCGCGATTAGGAGAGATAGCGGCGAATCGGGGCGAGTGAGGGGCGAGCTACTGTGGGCGATTGGAGGAGCCGAGTTCGCCGGAGAGCAGGTCACGGTGGTGGATGGTCAGAAGGGACGAACGGAGATGGTGGAGAAGAGCGGTGCTTTGGTCGCGAGAGAGTTGGGCGAGAAGGAGAGAAGGAGAACCTGCAAAAGAAAAAAAAAAAGAACCCGTCAATTTTTTTTTAAAAAAAAAGAACAGGTAAGTCGCGAAATGAGTCGCGACAGGTTAACGAGTCGCGACATTGTCTCGCGAGTCGCGACATACTCTCACGACTCGCGAGAAAAACAGAGACGACAGCCGAATACATGTGGGGCAACTCGCGACACGCGAAATACCCGCGAGTCGCGACTTCAGTGTCGCGAGTCGCGATTTCATTCCGCGACTCGCGAGAAAAACAGAGAGTGAAGGCCAGAAGGCGCTGGCCAACTCGCGACTCGCGACATATCTCACGAGTCGCGATTTGTTTTTTCTTTTTTCTTTTTAAATAAAGCAGGTAATAATATATATATACACATAGTACAATAAAAGCTCGGTTTTAAGCCGGGAGCTCGGCATTGATGCCGTAAATCAAGGATACGCGGGGTCGCCGAGACTGATGGTCTCGACGTGATACTTCCCAAACTCCCCATCGAAGTATGGCTTCACTCGCTGTCCGTTAACCACAAATAACTCGCCGTTAGCTGGATTGCGAAGTCGAATGGCCCCAAAAGACAACACCTCCTCAATAACATATGGGCCACTCCACCGGGACTTCAATTTTCCCGGAAAAAGACGGAGTCGGGAATTGTACAAAAGAACACGCATACCCGGTACCAGCTCCTTTCTGACAATATGGGCATCATGGAGTCTCTTCACCTTGTCTTTATAAATCTTGGCATTCTCATATGCCTCGTTCCTCCTTTCTTCTAACTCCGATAGTTGCAACAGTCTAGCTTTGCTGGCTGAATCTAAATCAAAGTTCGTCTTCTTAATGGCCCACAAGGCCTTGTGCTCAATCTCCACTGGTAAGTGACAAGACTTCCCATAGACGAGTCTAAAAGGGCTCATCCCTAAGACGCCTTTGTATGCTGTTCGTTGGGCCCACAAAGCGTCGTCGAGCCGGCTCGACCAATCCTTCCTTGAGGAATTGACAGTCTTCTCTAGGATAGTCTTGATCTGCTTATTACTCGTCTCTGCTTGACCCGAGGTTTGCGGGTGATAGGGAGTAGCCACTCTATGTGATATACAGTACTTCTTCATCAGCTTCTCGAAAAGCTTGTTGCAGAAGTGCTTCCCTCCATCACTTACAATTGCTCTCGGGAACCCAAACCTACTCAAAATATACCCTTGCACAAACTTGATCACGATATTAGCATCACATGTCTTTGTGGGGATAGCCTCAACCCACTTAGACACGTAATCTACGGCAAGTAAAATGTACTCATAGCCATTAGACTTAGGAAATGGTCCCATAAAATCAATGCCCCAGACATCAAAAATTTCGACTTGAAGGTTATTAGTCAAGGGCATCTCATTTCTGCGACCTATATTCCCAGTTCTTTGGCATCGATCACAAGAGCGACAAAAAGTATGAGCATCTTTGAAAAGTGATGGCCAGAACAAACCTGATTGTAGTACCTTAAAGGCGGTTTTCTGACCGCCAAAGTGGCCTCCACAGTGAAACTCATGGCAAAATGTAAGGACATCGACTTGCTCCTCTTCCGGTACACATCTCCTAAGCACCTCGTCCTTTCCCATCTTGAAAAGGAACGGCTCATCCCAGAAGTAGCCCCTACACACAGAAATAAAACGCTTTCTCTCTCGGGAAGAGAGGTCAGGCCGCAATTTCCCACAACACAAGAAATTCACAATGTCAGCATACCAAGCACTTTTCGACACTTCATGCGCATGCTCATAAGGAAAATTATCATTAATAAAATGATGCACAATCAATGAAGATGATGAGTCAGATGGGACTATGCGTGACAAGTGATCAGCAACTACATTCTCACAACCTTTCCTATCTCTAATGTCTACATCGAACTCTTGCAGTAACAAGATCCACCGGATGAGCCTTGGTTTAGAATGAGTTTTGCTCAAAAGGTACTTCAAAGCCGCATGGTCTGAGTGAATAATTACCTTAGATCCTAAAATATAAGATCTAAATTTTTCTAGTGAAAAGACCACGGCTAGAAGTTCCTTCTCGGTGGTGGTGTAATTCTGTTGGGCCCCATTAAGAGTCAAACTAGCATAATAAATCACTCTAAGCAACTTATCAACTCGTTGACCCAAAACGACGCACACTGCAAGGTTAGATGCATCACACATAATTTCAAAAGGAAGAGACCAATCAGGGGCAATGACAATAGGGGCACTCACAAGCTTGCTCTTTAATTCATTAAAAGCACTCAAGCAAGCATCATCAAAAATAAATGGTACATCCTGAGCAAGCAAGTGGCATAATGGTTGACTAATTTTCGAAAAGTCTTTAATGAAACCCCTATAAAACCCCGCATGCCCCAAGAAACTCCTGATCCCCTTAACATTCACAGGAGGGGGAAGTTTTTCAATAACATCTACTTTAGCCTTATCTACCTCCATCCCTCTACTAGAAACAACATGGCCTAAAACAACACCACTCCTAACCATGAAATGACTTTTCTCCCAACTCAAAGTTAAATTAGATTCAATGCACTGTTCAAGGACTCGAGATAAATTATGAAGACAATGAGAAAATGAATCACCAAAGATAGAGAAGTCATCCATAAATACCTGCAAGCAATCCTCAAGCATATCCGAGAAGATGGAGAACATGCACCTCTGAAATGTACCCGGTGCATTGCATAGGCCAAAGGGCATCCGTCTGAACGCGAAGGTGCCAAAGGGGCACGTGAAAGTCGTCTTTGGCTGATCCTCAGGTGCAATGGCTACTTGGTAGTAGCCGGAGAGTCCATCCAAAAAGCAGTAGAACTGATGGCCGGAAAGACGATCAAGGATCTGGTCAATAAACGGCAACGGGAAATGGTCCTTCTTCGTCACCGCATTCAGTCGCCGATAGTCAATACACATGCGCCACCCAGTAGTGATGCGGGTGGGGACCAACTCCTTCTTATCGTTCTCGACCACGGTTATGCCCCCCTTCTTGGGCACCACATGGATAGGACTGACCCACTCACTACTCGCCACTGGATAGATCAACCCTTTAGAGAAAAGCTTCAACACCTCCTTCTTGACCACCTCCATCATATTCGGGTTAAGCCGGCGTTGGCTATCCCGAAAAGGCTTGGCTCCCTCCTCCAAGATGATCCGGTGCATGCATGTAGAGGGACTAATTCCCTTGATGTCTCCTAAGCTCCACCCGATTGCTTTCTGGTTCTTCCGGAGCATGGCAATCAGCTCCTTTTCTTCCTCACGGTCAAGCTCAGCAAAAATGATCACTGGCTTCTGTTGGGTATCATCCAAGAAGACATACTTAAGGTGCGTGGGTAGCTCCTTAAGCTCAAGTGTGGCCTCAGCTCGGGAATGGCCCTCTCCCGCTTCAAAAAGCTCAACTATAGGCTCATCCTCATACTCGAAAACCGGCATAGATATCTCCTCGAACTCGTGAATGACCATCTCATCAACAAAGGGGTCGGCTAGATCAACGAAAGCACATTCTTCTACAAAGTTAACCGAGGAGACAGACATAGCTCCCCGCACGGAAATAGACACCGACTCCCCCAACACAGTCATATTCAGGGTCCCATTCTTCACATCGATAAGGGTATTCGTAGTTGCCATGAAAGGTCTCCCGAGAAGGATGGTGTGGTCCTTCCCGTTCTCGTGAACATCTCCCACGTCTAAAACAACGAAATCAACTGGAATGATAAGCCTACCCACTTTCACGAGAACATCCTCAACTATCCCCTTCGGATACCGGATGGAACGGTCCGCCAACTGGATGCACATGCGGGTCGGCCTCAACTCCCCAAGACCGAGCCTCTGAAAAATCGAGAAGGGCATGAGGTTTATTCTGGCTCCGAGGTCTAGCATCCCCGAAGCTACCTTCCCGTTTCCCAAGGCTATCTGAATAATGAAACCGCCTGGGTCCCGTTCCTTCTTGGGCAAGTCATGTTGCATCGCACTTGCCGCCTCATACACAACCACTTTCTCTCCGTCCTCGAACTTCCTCTTCTTTGTCACCAAGTCCTTAAAGAACTTCCCATAGGATGGCATATTCTTAATCACGTCAAGGAGGGGCAAGTTAACATTTACCTTGGAGAGCATACTGAAAAGATCCCGGAACTGCTTTTCCTGCTTCTCGTTCCTAAGTCTGTCCGGAAAAGGAATGCGTGTCTTGAATGGATTTGGTGACTTGTGTAGCACGGGCTCGTCTGACACCTTCCCGGACTCTCTTTCCTTGCTCTTCTCTGCATAAGTCCCCTCACTCTCAGGTTTCTTGGCCACCTCTTGATCCTCGGGTCCGGGCATTTACACCTTATTGTCCACTACTTTCCCGCTTCTTAGAACCGTGATAGCCTTCGCCTGCTCGGTTTGGCTAGGCAACTTCCCTTTGTCAGATTCGGTCTCCATGTGCCCGACCCTTGTGGCCAGTTGGCCCACTTGTGTCTCAAGACGCTTGATGGATGCATCTTGATTCGTGATAAACCGGAGGATCTTGTCGAGCTTGTCGTCTTGGAGGGAAGAACTTGGTCCGGTTCCCGGTGCTTGCATACCGGCTACCGGTCCTCTCGGCTGCTGCTGCTGCTGGTAGTTCGGACGGGGAATGAAGCTTGGTCGAGGTTGCTGCTGCATAAAATTCGGACGGGGTTGCTGGAAGTTCGTGTTGTTGGACCAGGAGAAGTTGGGATGATTTCTCCATCCCGGGTTGTACGTGCTTGAAAACGGGTCATTGCCAGGCCGAGCTTGGTAACCCTGTAAAGCGCTGGCATCTGCGTACTGCTCACCGGACTCCTGATCGAAAGCTGAAGGGCACACTTCAGACCTATGGCCTGGGACTCCACATGCCCCACACGTGTCAACGGACATGGTCTGAACCGGCTGAGCTCCTCGTGCGTTAAGTAAACGCATTTGCTCTGTGAGCTCAGCTAACTGTTGGGCCATCTCATTGTTGCCCTGCCCGACCTCGTATGCTACCACTCTCTTCCCTCGGCTGCTCTTCTGCGATGAGTTCGTGCTCATCGTCTCGAAAATTGCAAACATCTCCTCAGCTGTCTTTGCTCCAATATCTCCTCCTGCCGCATTGTCAACCATATACTGCAAGTTCTGATGGAGGGAGTCGTAGAAGCAGTTGATCAGTAGCCCCGGAGAGAGGTTGTGATGAGGACACTGCCGCTGGAGGTCCTTAAACCGCTCCCAAGCCTCGTGAAGAGGCTCGTTCGGTAGTTGAGCAAATGAGACGATCTGCGACCGGAGCTCCTGGGTCTTCTGATGGGAGTAGTATCTCCCAATGAACTTCGTGTATAATTCAGTCCAGGTAGTGAGAGAGTCCGGTGCGAGGGTCATGAACCAGGACTTGGCCCGGTCCTTCAGTGTCTCGGGAAAACACCTCATCTTCAGTTGCTCTTCTGTAAGCCCGTGGAGAGGGAAGGTCTGTAGCACATTATAAAATTCCCGAATGAAGTTAAGAGGGTCTTCATTCGGGAGCCCGTGGAAGGATGGCAGCTGGTTGTAATGGATCATCTTAAGCTCGTAGTTCCGAGCTTCTTGTGGCAACCGGATGCATGAGGTTATCGGCCCAATCGTCGGATGGGCTAGGTCTCGAAGGGTGTTGCGAGGCAGTTGTTGCTGTTGTTCATCCATGACGACGTTACTGCCTTCTGACGAATTCGGGGAGTGTTCGTTTCCTTCGTTAGACTCGAGAGTAAGCTCTTCCAGCAGCTCCCTCAGGCTCTCGTTGACTGATTTGTTGATCGGAGATAGCAATTTGCGTCCACTCCTGGTACGCATACACTAAGACCAACAAGGGTTACGAGCACCAATGATAAAACAAAATAAAAACAAAATAAAACACGAATTAACACCTAACAAATAAAAAGAAATCAAGAGAAACACGGAAACAAGGAAAATCACAAGAAATAAGAGAAACACTAAAAACAAAATGAATAGGCGCACAATTATAATCCTAAACCTTCCCCGGCAACGGCGCCAATTTTGTTGTCAGTATTTTAACCGGAGTAGAATCGAAAGATTCGTCCCCGGGTCGTATCGCAAGGAAGGTTAGCCGGATATAATTGTTCGATTATTCAATCACAAAAGAAGATAAAAATCCTAAACAATCTAATTCAATGATTTGGGTTTCGATTATCAACTACCAACTTTAAATTAAATAAAGCACGAAATGAACAGTAACGAATTAACTGAGAATTTAAAGAGCTAGGGAATCGGGGACAACTGCTTTCGGTTCTTACACAACTACCGGCAATCAATTGCTCGGTTAAAGGAAATGAATCGTCTATCGTTTAGAGGTTCACTCTCAATAACTCTTCGTAACAAGAGAGTGAACATATACGATTGACTATCAAAGCCAGCAACTCATAGACAATACTTTGACGAACAAGTCTATTCTAAACGAGCCTAAATCGACCAATGTCTCCCCTTTCGGTTCTAAACAATGATTAACTAGGTTATATAGGTGATCAATCTATTAACCCTAAATTGAACTCAACTCGCATAGATATGAACAATTAAGAACAAGCAATTATAATTGAACCTAATCAATTATCCCCTATCCCTAGCAGATGGATTTAGCTAATCATAATGGATTTGATCACACAAACATTCATAACCCAAGACATCATCATCAATGAAAGAATTGAAGAAAAATACTTACGATTAATAAAAATTCTGAACCCAATCCAATAGTATCCGAATCCAAGGCAAGATAATAGAGGTTTTTAATCTCTAAAATCGAATCCCAAGAGCAAAACAATTCAAAAGTGCGAAAGAAAGAAAAGGAATGAGTTTCTAGAGAGAAAAAGTGTAAAAACAAAGTCTGAAAACCGAATAATGAACCCTAGGGTCGAATTCTGCTCTAAAAATCCCGTCCTCGAAATTCGCGCCCGGCAAAGTCGCGAGTCGCGACTAACTCGCGAGTCGCGAGATGGACCTTTTCTTCGCTCGCGAGTCGCGACTTCCTGGCGACTCGCGCGTCGTCAAAATATAAATTTTTGGGGTTGAGTCGCGAAATATCTCGCGAGTCACGACATCATATCGCGAGTTCTGCTCGACACTGCACCATAAGCCTCTGTTTTTTCCGCGGGTCGCGACATTCCCTCGAGTCGCGACTCGACTCGCCAGTCGCGAGACATCTCGCGAGTCGCGACTTTTTCTGGGCACAGTTTCTGTCCGTTTTTTCTGTCCTTCCTCGAGTTTCCTTCGCTCGGTAACGGATGTTCTCGAAATCACAGTCTCGGCTCACGCAATCCTAACCTCGACCGGCACAACCTACCTCCTGAAAACACAACACAGAAAAACACGCAGCAAAACACGACAAAAAGACACACAAATATAAACTAAAGAGAGAAACGCAAAACAACGAATTGGACCAAATAAACTACGAAAAACCTACAAATGGGGGAAAACGAAAAGAAAATAATCATGAAATAAAGACACAAAAATGGGACAAACATTGGTGGCCCATTAATATTATTTAATTAATTAGAGGAGTGGGTTTGGCCTACAGTTAGTCTAATTAATTAAGGAGCCCTTTTCCTAATCTCCTTAGGGTCCCTACTGTAGCTCTATATATACATCATTAAGCTCATGAGAAGAGAATCCCAATCCTATTCACACGTGAATAACGCCGCCCATCTCTCTCTCTCTAGATCTCATTCGAGCTTTATCTTCTTCTTGTTGCTCCACTGGTACAAGTTGAAGAAGGGTGTATTGAGTAATACAGTAGAAGATCTGTAGGTAAACCGAGACGAAATAGATTTTGACCTACAGAACTAACCGGAAGTCTGATTGAGACGTATAGTATACCCAGACAACCGTCTCGACGAGAGCTTTCCATCGCCGCCGACGCCGCACGCGCCCTCACGCGCCGCCGGACGGTGTCTGGCAGCAAAATTTCGTTTTGATCTGTTTGCATCCGTTTGATCCAGTTTTGATCTGATCTTGTTCGTGCAACCCAAGACGCGTGTTGCGGTCAATCAATTGCGGTCAACCGTTCGTGGTCAACCAGATCTACATAAATTTTAAGCCGTAAGTTCTCTACGTCAAACCTTTAGATCCGCTGCGCCATAGGTTTACGTTTGCTATTGAATTCGTGATTTGTACATAACGAGATCCTCACAGATCCCAACAGTCTTGACGATGCGCTATGGGCCCAAAGGACAGCATACAAGGGTGTATTGGGGATGAGTCCGTTTCAGCTCGTCTATGGAAAAGCATGCCATCTTCCTGTTGAAATTGAGCATAAGGCATATTGGGCAATAAAGAAAATTAATGTTGATGTCGAAGTAGCCGAAAAAGAACGAACATTGCAATTATCCGAGCTGGAGGAGTTGAGAAATGAAGCATATGAAAATTCAAAGATTTACAAAGATAAAGTGAAAAGGCTTCACGATGCGAAAATCAAACAAAAGAACTTTATACCGGGTATGAAAGTTCTATTATTTAACTCTCGTTTGCGGCTTTTTCCGGGTAAGTTGAGATCCCGATGGAGTGGACCTTATATTATTGATGAGGTCTTGTCACTTGGAGCTTTTCGAATTCGAAACCCAATAAATGGCGAAATGTTCGTGGTAAACGGACAAAGACTCAAACCGTACTACGAAGGTGAGTTCAGAAAACAGCATATCGAGACTGTTAGTCTCGTCAATCCTGAGTATTTCTGAAAATGATTGATGCCGAGCTCCCGGCAATAAATCGAGCAGATTTTTTTATTTTTTTTTCAAAAAAAAAATCAGAAAAAAAATAGAAATAGAAATATATATATATATGCGCTATCATTCGGTGGATCACTTCTGAAGATCATTACAATCAGTGGGACACTAGCTGGAATTCGGAGAGTGATTATCTGCCACCGCCACCACCACCATCTTGAGACGCACAGTGATTTTTTTTCATTGTGTTAGTAAGTTTTTATTTTTATTTCATTTATTTCAGATATTTTTTTTATTTTTCCTTAAACAATGGGGACATTGTTTATTTTAAGCGTGGGCGACATTATTTTGGTTTTTATTGTTATTGTGTGTTATAAAAAAAATAAAAATAAAAATAAAAATAAAAATAAAAATAAAAATAAAAATAAAATAAAATAAAAAGAAAAGAAAAAAAAAGGAAAAAATATATATATAAAAAAAATGATGAAAAAAAAATAATAATGTTTGAATTGTTTTGTTTAAGTTTTTATCTTTGTTCAGGACGAACAAAGAATTAAGTGTGGGGGAGTTATTAGTGTTATTTTTGTTATGTTTTTATTAATGTTTTTAATTATTATTTTTATGTATTTTTAGTAATTTTGT